CGACCATTTTTACGCTTTCTTTCTTTACAGCATGAAACAAAGCAGTTTTGCCATCTTTATTGGTAGCATTGACATCAGCACCACACTCGATTAGTGCTTCCACTATTTTTTCGCTTTCTTTCTCTACAGCATAAAACAAAGCACTTTCGCCATCTTCATCGGTAGTATTAATATCAGCACCATATTCGATTAGTTTTTGGACCACTTCTTCATTTACAGCAAAAAACAAAGCAGTTGAGCCATCTTCATCGGTAGCATTAACATCAGCACCAAAATTGATTAGTTCTTCCACCATTTTTTCATTTCCTTTGTCAACAGCATAAAACGAAGCAGTTTGGCCATATTCATCGGCTGTATTGACATCAGCACCACAATTGATTAGWATTTCCACCATTTCCTCATTTTCTTTCCATACAGCACAAAACAAAGCAGTTTTGCCATCTTTATTGGTTGCATTCATATCAGCACCAGACTGGATTAGTTTTTCAACCATTTGTTTATTTTCTTTCTGTACAGCACAAAACAAAGCAGCTTGGCCATATTCATCGGCGGCATTGACATCAGCACCACACTCAATTAGTTTTTCCACCATTTTTTCTTTTCCTTTCTTTACAGCATGAAACAAAACAGTGTTGCCATCTTTATTGGCTACATTGACATCAACACCAGACTGGACCAGTTTTTCCACTATTTTTTCATTTTCTTTCTCTATAGCATAAAACAAAGCAGTTCTGCCACTTTCGTCGGTAACATTGACACCAGCAAAACACTGGATTAGTTTTTCTACCAATCCTTCTTGTCCATTCTCAATAGCGTCAAATAGAGTTTTGTTAAATTCGTCATCACTGCAGTCAGTAATGCCTTCTGCCATATTGCAGTTTTTAAGAATCGGCGGTGACAGTGAGTAATCTTAATATCTTGCTTAAGTTTTGTTGATGTAGAGTGATACGTTGCACATTTGTATTAGTTGTGAGCATATATTCTTTTCCTTGTCGATGTGATGTAGCACGTGTAGTTTGTACTTCACATGATAGCAGTTGTATTCACACCTGTCGTCAAACAAAACAACCAGACATTTTCTCTTTAATTATATTCATTTAGTAATCATTGTCAAATCCTGCAATCTGTTTCTTCAATTTGCACTATTTTTGTCAACATCTGAATTGAGCCAATCACAAAAGATACATCATAACGTCAACTTTCTGACCAATCATACCAAGGAAAGAAGAAAAAAATCCATTTGAATGTTGAACTCGGCACCTTTTTGGTGAAAACAAAAGGGGTGGGTAGACGACTTGGGAAGAAAGTTCTTAAAGATTTTTGGAGCCATTTTCAGCATAAAAAGCCGCGTAACATTTATTCAAAAAGACCAGCTGAACTGAAATTGTCGGAAGCATAATTCTAAAGAAACTTCTAGGAGTAAGTTGGTAATATTTTATAGAAACACAGTCAAAAAAATCTGCTCAAACGGCACACCTTGTGGCTTCTTGTCGACTGTTTTTTTATAAGTTATACCATGGCACGAGGAAAATTAGTATAGGAAATCGTACGATCTCGAGTACAATTTGGAAATTAATAGACACGAGTAATGTTTTGAAAGTTCTTGTAATTGCATGAGCCTTTAGGCGAGTGCAATTAAAGAACTTTCAAAACATTACGAGAAGATCGTGCGATTTTTTGTTTACAGTTCACTCAACAAAATTTCAGAAAAGAATGCGAAGCGACGCCGTTCATCTTTGTCTATTTGGCGGCCGATTTTCAGTCCATCGCGCAACTGAAATCCATAAAAAAGATTAGTTCTTAGGGCTTTAAAATTTCATTTATATGTCTTTAAGTACAAAATGATAGAAAATAATTTTACATTCCAAGCAAAAAGCCATGTTAATGTTTGTACTCCTACGAAGTAATTCGGTACTCCTACGGAGTACAATTAACGCTATAATTGTATTCCTCTCGACCAATCAGAGTCGAGTAATTTTGTTGAGTGTATTATAAGTGATGAAACTTCCCCGAATAACGAGGGACTTTTACAAATTTTCCCGAGGTATTGCCGTAATCCAAGAATCTGGATAATGAGATGCATAATTTCAGGTTTCATACTGGTTTAAACTGGTTTTGATGCGCGAGTCTGTTTAAAAAAATATGGCCGATGACCAAAATTAATCCCACGTCGTATGTCAAAGTGTAGTTTCGAAAGCGCTCTAAATCACGTTTTATCAAATAAAAATCAATTTCAACCAACTATTCATCAAAGGAAATCTCTAGAAAGTTTTATGGATGTCAAAGATACGTTTGTTTCGCTGCCGACAGGCCACGGAAAGTCACTTATTATCCAGCTTGTAACTCCGAAGATCAAATATCTTCAAGCAATAGATCCAAACCGACTAGTCGATACCCTAAGAACCCTCCTTTGGTGCTAATAACTCCACTCCAAGGCACTGATGAGCGACCAAATTTCCGCTTGTGAAAATTTGAAAGTTGAAGCAGTAAAAAAAGTACCCTGCGAGGGAGTTAAAAGGAGATTCTGCTCGTAGGGTACCTGTCCCATATATTAAATGAAATTTAGTAAAAGACAAAGGATTTCCTTGTCTTCTAAATTCCCCTCATGTTCTATGCATGAGGGAAATTTAGAAGACAATGATTCGTCTCCCTAAGGGACAACTCAATGCCCCTGGAACTGAATCGATTACAACGTATCCTACTTATGAAATTACTGCACGATTTCCATGTGGGACGCGTTCTCACATCTGCGCATGCTCAGTCGTAAGATAAATTGAAATCTATTTTTGTTTTATTCCACAAATTTTCCCTCGTTATTCAGGGAAATTTAATCACTATGTGCCATGGTATTACCTATAAACCATATTTTCATTTCATGCATGCTAATAAGAGCTAGTTTGTGAATGCTTTCGTTGTTTACGCTTCTGTGACCTAGAAACCCGAACGTCTAAAACCGCAATTTCTTTCCTTATTTCCTCGGTGATCATGGTATTATTAAAGGCATTTGCATCTCGCTTTACCTTGGAACTCAGGGAATCATCGTCCTTAAAGAAGTTTTCTTAAGAACTTTATGTTTTTTCAAGGACATATATATTAATAAACAAACTTTATTTTTTGCCATCTTCATGGGAAAGGTTGGAACATTAATTCCCTGCTGCCAGAGGCTCCTTTTTTTTATCCTTTGTTTTCGGGGAGAGGGAGAAAAATAGAAATATCTGCCCCGATCCGTTAAATTATTTGATCTAACCGCCGTCCATGAATGTGGACGAAAAAGCGGTTTTGAAATCGTTTTTTTTTTAGTTGAACACCTCTGCGCATGACAACCAGAAAGACTGCTGCATTGAGCCCGCAATACCAGTGAGCATATCTTCTTACGATAACTGCTGACTATTAATGAGTCCACTATTTCAAATTTCATTAGTAGCATAGTAACGCTCGCACATGCGCAACAGAAAAGATGACCGATGCCGATGCAGCAAAAGAAAAAGAAAAGGAGACTCTGTCATCAGGTAAGAACACTGAATACGAGCATAAATAAACCCTCTTTCGTGTCGTGCAGTTTTGGCACTCCACCCATGTCTATTACCATCATTAATCGAGCTGCTTGGCACCATCTTTCTAGAATATCATCTCATTATCGTGAGGGATACAGCTTTACTCATTCAGAATCTATTAGACTATTATACTTGTTTTACCCTATAAAAACATAAAACAAATACCGTTATTAACTTGCTTGGTTGCTTGCTAGCTCTGTTCTTCTTTTTTTTTTTCTTTTTTTTTTTTTTCTTCTTCTTCTTCGCTGCTTGCCTGAATCCCAACTTGGTTACTTACTTGCTTTGTTCTTTTTTTAAAGTAAAGTAGCTTTGACCTGTTTTTTCTAAGTTCACAATCGCATCCGTTCTGAGACGGTCTTTACTTGTTGTTTCGGAGAAGAGAGACGTACAATGAATCCTAATGTTTGTAGTTTTGTACTCAAGTCACATCTTGGGAGATGTTTGAGCAGTTCCTTTTGCGTTAATCAATGGAGTTTTAAGATCCTTTTGATGTCGTTTCTACACACACTGGAAAGGCAGCTTGCCAAAATGATAATAGTGGTCTTTACGAGCACTAACTTAGTCCAGTTGCATCAGATCTTGCATCAAGCCATTATTTCCTTAAGACAAAGTGCTCGAGTTGTGTACTTAAGTGAACGCCTTGGAAGATATTTGAGCTTTCGTTTTGCGTTTATAATGAAGTTTTCATGGTCCTTCAGATGTCGTTTCTCTATTAGGACAGACAGTTTTACCAAAGAGTGGTTTTTACGTGCACTAACTTAGTATAGTTTCATCATATTTTGCATCAAGGCATTAATTCCTCAAAGTGAAACTGCGTAGTTGCAATATAATCTGCCTGAACCAAGTCCAGCAGAAAGAAGGTCATATGTCACAGATTTTCCGGCTATTTAATCTGTGTTTAATTTTAGGATAATAAAAATATTTTCACGCAATATTTTTTTGAGCAGAACCTAAATGGTAAACGTGACGCAGTTAAACTGTATACTCTTTTCATTACAATTTCTTCTCTTTCTCACGCTTTTTCCTTGTAGTTTTTACCTTCGTTGATTATAGCCATTCCGAGGTTGAGTAAAAGACTGGGTCGAGATGGCATTGCATTGAGCAACTTGTTTTGGGATACTTATTTCCAAGAGGGAGTCTATTTCTACCCTACAAACAATTCCAACATGCACTGCAAATCTAACTCGACCCATACTTTGCTTTAACCTAAGAATGATTAATACAGTGTAAGAGAACAAAATGCAAAATTTACAGTTGAGTCATTTTCCGAATGTGGCGTATCAAAACCAAACACTATCACAGTGTTACGAGAATAGTTTATCGTAACGAAGGCAGCTACGGCAAGAGAGATCGTTGCTTTCGTCTTATCCAAGTTGTTTCCCGTTGTCTACAATCTTGATCTCTTTGGTTTTGCTTCTATATATACTAACTATTAAACGTAACCGTGAGTGAGCAAGGAAAGGTATTTGGGTCACGCATTACTCAAGACATGCCAAGGCTTGTTCAATCATGTGATAATGGATCTTTTGATCCTTGGAAACAGATACTAGTTCTTGCTACCTTACGATTTTTATTTGTGCACATAAACATGGCAAGATGGATAATGTTTACATGGATGTAATCTAAGAATAGTCTATAATAGTTAAAATATAATGCATCAACAATTAATTTAACAAAAAACATTCTGGAACATGCTGACACGAGGTCAACAGGAACTGAATTAGGGGATTTCCCTCCAGCTAATAATAGTCTACTTCGGTTCCAAAAGTCGTCTTACATTTCAACCGTTTTGATTGACACCAGGTTATTGTCTTATGGTACCCTTGTCTTAACATTATTAACACTATTCTATTTGTATACTGGTCTCTTGTATCAACTGACCTTGATCTAGTCTTGTACAGGCTTTGATTCTAGTCAGTGTTGATTGTCTAATGTACCCTTGTCTTAACATTATCAACACTATTCTATCTGTATACTGGTCTCTTGTATCAGCTGATCTTGATATAGTCTTGCACCTGGTTTTGATTCTAGTCAGTGTTGATTGTCTAATGTACCCTTGACTTAACATTATTAACACTATTCTATCTGTATACTGGTCTCTTGTATCAGCTGACCTTGATCTAGTCTCGCACCTGGTTTTGATTCTAGTCAGTGTTGACTGCCTAATGTACCCTAGTCTTAACATTATTAACACTATTCTATCTGTATACTGGTCTCTTGTATCAACTGACCTTGATCTAGTCTCGCACCTGGTTTTGATTCTAGTCAGTGTTGATTGTCTAATGTACCCTTGTCTTAACCTTATTAACACTATTCTATCTGTATACTGGTCTCTTGTATCAACTGACCTTGATCTATAGTCTTGTACAGACTTCGTTTGATTCTAGTCAGTGTTGATTGTCTAATGGTACACTTGTCTTAACATTATTAACAATATACTATCTGTATACTGGTCTCTTGTATCAGCTGACTTTGATCTAGTCTTTGATTATAGTCAGTGTTATATAGTTTATTGTCTAAATATTTTTATCACTTTTTTAGTGCGGTTCTTGTGGTAGTTCATTCTGTGATCCTGAAAAGTAAAACAAGTGTGATACAGTTGACATGGTTCAGTGATTCTTTTGAAAAAGAGGGATTGTAGGCACTATAGAGCGTTTTTACATGACGTCACAGCGGCCATGTTGGTGTACCAGAGCAATATATTTCCTATCCTTGGGGAATTCTATTGTTGAACTCTATTTTTATGCAAAAACTGTGCAGAAAGTATTGTTTGGTACACCAATATGGCTGCCTTGTCACGTGAGTGAAAACGCTCTATTAGGGAAAGGTCGTTTTGTGGTGATGGGAGTAGGCCTGGGCGTGGTTTTAAGGGGTCATAAAACCTACAGCAGCAAAAGGGGTCACAAAACTATTAGGGTCGTCAGATGGAGATTAGGGTCTGATTTTTCATTTCTGCTGCATTAGAAACTCTATGGTTTATCCACACCCCAATTCCCAAACCCCAAAAGTGAAATCAAACGAGGGACAACAATCGTCTAATTATTAAAATAATCATACCTTGTGTTAACTCCAAATCATCCCCTTAATACTTGCTTAATCTCTTCTCTCGTCTGATCCCATCCATTAGTGGTTACAGCCTTGTAGACTTCCATCACAAGATTTGGAAAATATTCAAAGAACACAAAGTCTTTCAGCAACTGATCTCGAATTGGCTTTGGTAATGCAGTCACATGTGCGTTAGCATTTCGTATGAAACGTACCAACTCTACTACAGGGTTCGTTTGGTATGTTCTTCTTGTTGTCATTTTAGTGTAAATGGCAGGCATGTGTACATAACCTGGGTCATTCCAATCTCCATACTTGACTATGGTACCAAAGCTTGTCTCCAAGTCAGTCTCTACTAAAGTTAAAGGAGGAGGCCTCTTAGCACGTGGGGATTCAAATTCTGGTTGATTGCCAACAGCTACGAGCAGATCTAGCTTTTTCTTCTTTGCCCAGAAAAAAAGATGATCCAATGCTTTATCTGCAGATGGCCGTTTGCTTTTATCTCCATCAAGCATTGCTTTAAGGAGATCAGCTGCTTCAGGGCACAGAGAGTCATCCCATCCTTCCATGTTGTCATTTTGTATGTTGACTTCAATCTCGTGTTGCAGTGCCCCTATTCTGGGGGCAAATGGATGTGTTTTCGCTGACAAAATGTAATGAAGAAGGAGACCACAGGCAAACACATCAGATGACTTGGAATGAGGTTTTTTAGAGGTTAGCACTTCTGGAGCAATCCAACATCTCGTACCAACATTAGATCCATACACTGAGGTGCTTGAGCTATTGGTATCCATACGACGGCTGAGACCAAAGTCGGCAATTTTCAAGCATAGTTTAGGAGTCGTTTTATAAAGAATGTTGGTTGCCTTGAGATCTCGATGAAGGATGTTTTGATCGTGTAAGAATTTCAGTCCTTGAACTATATCTTGGCAAAGCGAGACTTTAGTTTCCATTTGTATTGCAGTATTAAGGAACTGCTCAACATTTCCCTCCATCAGTTCCAAGACAATATAAGAAAAGTGTTTATCTTCATAAAAGCACAAATAGCGGACGACTTGCTCGCAGTCTGCAAGAGCAGTGAGATGTTTTATTTCTCGTTTGTCTTCTGGGCGTTGCATACGTATCTTCTCAATACGTTTGATGGCCACTTCTCTTCCATCTTTCTCATTGATTCCTGCAAATACAGCACCAAATGAACCGAATGCCAAATGGTCTTTGTGGTACCAGTATGATTCCACATGTTCGCTTTCGAGATGCCTTGCTACCTTAGCCAGATAGCGTTCATGCGTCTTAGAAACCGATTTCCAGGGTTCAATGAGCACGGGATGTCTATCAAGATCAATAGGCTCCATCAAAAGATCTTTGAGTGCAGGACACTTCTYTGCTATGTCYAAGCAYGACTGAYCWSTCGCATCAGKGATTCKGTAATCGGCTCCAAATGAACGTAACAGTTTAACCATACTCCAATGAACGGTCGTTTTGATCTCATCAATAGCTAAGGTCTTTGATGCTTCTACAATATTTCTACAACAATAATGAAGTGGAGAATCTTCTTTTGCATATCCATTCACTGGGCATTTAGACGAAACCAGAATCATTTCAGCGGCATCTTTTTTCCAGTGTGCATTAGGTAATTTGTCTTTGCAAATTAGAGTCAAAAGAGAAAACAAAATTAAGGGACAAGACCGAACCTTGAGGTCGTTACATGCAACGTGAACGAGAGCTCTAGCAAGATCATGAGATTCTGATTCCAGTAGTACACTCAAAACAGATTCATCGCGTATGTCAACCGACCAAGGATCCAGGCCTTTCTTAAGGACATTTGTCCAGAACGTTTCGGGATCTGGCAAAATGTCTGGATATAATGAACCTCGATTTTCAACAGACTCGTTTTTCCTTGCTGCAACAAGGAGAGGTGTATGTCCAGATGAATCCTCATCGTTAGGGTTCGCTCCAGCATCGAGCAAAAGTTCAACAGCAGTCCAAGTTCTACAGAGATGTAGAGGTGTTTCCCCATTTTCATTTTTGACATACAGTAGTTCTTTGGTTTCTCTGAAATGGTCCAAAATTATTTGCAAAAGTCCTCGGAAGGTATGTCCTCCACTAATATCGCTGGAGTAATTTTGTCCTGGTGCTAATTTGAGCTTTGCCCAAAGATGAAGTGGAGAGTTTCCAGAGTTATCTTGGGTATTGGTAGATACTTCGTGTCTCTTGAATGCATCAACAAATACTTCCATTAGCTCTAGGGCAACATCAGAAACGTCTTTTCTCGATTGACTATTACGTTTGAAAAAGCCATGGTGAAGAAGTTTTATGGCCAAGTGTAACACAGTCTCTCCACTCCCAGTTTTTGTTTTAACACCCGATCCATGTTCCACCAGGAATCGACAGACAGCTGCTTGTGTTTGGACAGCTGGCCAAGGTTCTTCCTCTCTCGACACCTTCTCGATTGTCCTGGTAAGACAATACAAAAGCGGTGTTTCGTCTTGGTGATTCGTTATATGGAAAGACGCATTAAACTTCTCGAGCTGTTTGCATATTTTTATGACAGACTCTTGTGTTACACCATAAAATGCTAGTTGAGTTGCATGGTGAAGACAGGTGTTTCCATCTGAATCTTTGGTGTTTGGGTTGGAACCTGCAATTATTTCCAGTAGCTCTAGGGCAACATCAGAAACGTCTTTTCTCGATTGACTATTACGTTTCAAAAAGCCATGTTGAAGAAGTCTTATGGTCAAGTGTAACACACTCTCTCCACTCGTAGTTTTTGCTTCAACACTTGATCCATGTTCTACCAGGAAACGACAGACAGCTCCTTGTGTCTTGAAAGCTGGCCAAGGTTCTTCCCTTCTGGACACCTTTTCGATTGTCTTGGATAAACAATATAAAAGTGGCGTTTCGTTTTGCTGATTCGTTATGTGGAACAATGCATTAAACTTCTTTAGCTGTAAAAATAATGCCATGACAGAGTCTCGTGTTACACCATGAAAAGCTAGCTGAGTTGCATGGTGAAGAGCACTGTTGCCATCTAAATCTGTGGTGTTAGGGTTGGCACCCAATTCAATAAGACGTCGAATCACTTCAACTGCTGCTCCGGACTCAATCAGTTGTTTATCGTGGCTGTCTTCATGGATCATGGTGGAGATCTCACTTATGGTTTTGATTTTCCCCACAGGAAAATTGACTTGAAAAAGCTTAGAATTTGAAGCATTTTCATTTGCTATCCTCATTAGATGAGAAAGAGAATCCACGTCGATATCACAAGAACCAGGCTTCAAGTACAGCGCTTTACAGAATGCAACACTCGCTATTGCTCCCAAAATCGTGTTTCTTTCCACTTCTTTGCGTTCAGTCAGAAGATCGAGTCCATCTTGTATGTTTGGAGTTTTTTCTGATGAACAGAAGATGCATCTCTCGATAAAAAATGTCAAAACACTGCAATTCTCATTGAGATATAAAGTGGCTCCTTTGTCAATTAAATACCTCGCAAGGGAAAGTGATTGTGTCATAGCGTAGAACAGTGGCGTTCTGCCATAACGATCTCTCACATCCACTTGAGCACCTCCATCCTCTANCCATAACGATCTCTCACATCCACTTGAGCACCTCCATCCTCTACCAGCACACGTGCCATGAGACAGGCTTTATCACGACTGTTTACAAAAAACAAAGCGGTTTTCCCGTCATTATCAGTAATGTTGACATCAGCACCAGCATCAATCAATGCACTACCTTCACTTTCATTGTTTTTTTGAACAGCATAAATCAAAGCAGTTTTCCCCTCATCATTAGTTATGTTGACATCAGCATGAGCATCAATCAATGCACGAAAGATATTTTCATTGTTCCTTTGTTGAACAGCATAAAAAAAAGTAGTTCTACCAACTTTATCTGTAGCATTGACATCAGCAGCATAACGTATTAGTTTTTCCAGCATTATTTCACTTTCTTTCTCTACAGCATAAAACAAAGCAGTCGAGCCATCTATATTGCTTGCATTGACATCAGCACCACCCTCGATTAGTTTTTCCACTATTTTTTCATTTTCATTCCATACAGCATAAAGCAAAACAGTGTAGCCATCTTTATTGCTTGCATTGACATCAGCACCTCCCTCGATTAGTGTTTCCACTATTTTTTCATTTTCTTTCTCTACAGCATAAAACAAAGCGGTTTTGCCATCTTCATTGATTGCATTGATATCAGAAACACACTCGATTAGTTTTTCCACCATTTTTCCATTTTCATTCTGTACAGCATAAAACAAAGCAGTCGAGCCATCTTTATTGGTAGCGTTGACATCAGCACCACACTCGATTAGTTTTTCCACTATTTTTTCATTTCCATACCATACAGCATAAAGCAAAACAGTGTAGCCATCTTTATTGGTAGCATTGACATTAGCACCACACTCGATTAATTTTTCGACCATTTTTACGCTTTCTTTCTTTACAGCATGAAACAAAGCAGTTTTGCCATCTTTATTGGTAGCATTGACATCAGCACCACACTCGA